CCGGCTGAAGACGCGGAACATTTCCTGAGACACCACGGGCGGGTTTCGAGTGATCAGCGATTGGCCGCTCTGTCAGCGGGCCGTCGCAGTCTTGGCAGCCCCAAGCTTGTCGCGCAGCCTGAACAGCTCGACGCTACGAGGAGATCCGTCAGGAACAAGCGCAAGCCTTGCAGTGATCATGGTCGATACCTTGACACTCAGGAGCGGCTCCCGAATGGTGCATCCTGAATCGGCCGAGGGAGGGCCCCCACGCTCGTCGTAGCGACGCTGAGTGCTCTCCCATTCCTGCACGTGACTCTGCCAGCCGACATCCTCGCAACCGCGACGGTGTCCTGCTGACCCCTGCGGCTCACATCCAGGACATCCATCTCGAAGCAACACTGAATCTGAGACGAGGTCGCCACACACGCCGCACCTGCTCGACAAGCTGGTAGTGGCGGCAACTTCTGCCTGCCCCCAGCCGCCGAACTAGGAGAGTTTGGTCCAAGCGCAGTTCAAGAACTCCTGGGCCTTGGCACGGGTCTCCTTGCCATCCACGAGCACCCGCTCGATGATCTCTTGAAGCTTCATGTGATGCCTCCACAAAGCATGCGCGCCCGACCGCGACCGTCACAGCGTCACATCGAGCTCCGGAGCTCCAGCCTGGAGCTGCTCGTGCTCACCTCTGACAACGGCGCGGCACGGCAGAGGTGTCTCCGCGTTGCCCTCAGTTCGGTGTTTCCGCTGGCAAGATGCAGTTGATCTTCACCGTCGGCCGCTCGTTGCCACCTTGGAGAAGCAGTTGCCCAGGCTCCTTGTGTGAGCCGCGCTCGCCGAGGCAACGGCGCTTTTTCAGCTGCTCCCTGACCAGCTGCCGAAATTGCCCCACCTTTTTTGCTTCTGAGACCAACTCAAACTGTATCATGCGGCCTTTCAAGGCCTCATCCTTCCAGACACGGAAGAGCTCTTGGCAGTTGGACATGTTTTGGCTGAACATCTCTGCATCCTGCCAGATCGCACGCGTCGGACATAATCTTGCGGCGCGTGCTTGCATCTCTGCAGCCAATGTTCGGAATAGGGCACTATTCTGACCTCTGCACAGCCTAGCCAGCCCCTTGAACATTGACTCTCCTCTACCCTGACAGGTTAAAGAGGGGCCAAGGGGGCCAAGGGTCATGTGCATGGCTTCGAGGCAGCACGTGGGAGGCACATTTCCAGCATTCTCTTCGCAGGCTCTAACATGGCGGAAGCTGTCTGGTCACCAGTCTTATCCTCCAGAGGCCTCCGTGGGGCCGGCCGGGTCACAGTCAGCAAGGAAACCCAATTTCACATGAAAGTGCCGCTGCTCAACGGAGAGCTAGAGGAGGCCCTCGCCCTCTGCACTGCACGTCGCAGGCCCATGCCCGTCGCATCGGATTGGGGAGCGTTCTAAGGACTACCATTCAGAAGACGGCTCAGAAGCTGAAAGCTTCAAGTCTGATTCTGAGCGCTTCCAGACTGAAACGACCCGATGTAGCCCGCCTGCTCCTCAACAGTGACTTGTCTTCATGCTTCGAGAGCCGTGTGTGATCAAGGAGAGAGCTGAAGGGCGATCCTCTGCCTACGTCAATGCGTTCAGGGGCCACCGCTGTCCTGCTGCATGAGCCGCTGAGTTGACAAGATCTTCAGCAGGCGATCCTGCGGCAAGCCGAGTCCCCAAGTCCTCTTCTGTCAAGTCTCGGGCTCGGGCTGAAAGATCCCGGCTGACAGCTTCGACAAGATTGTAGGCCCTCCAGAGCGGGTACCTTACTCAATTCACGGCTCTGGATGCCATCAGTGGCAGGGAGCTGCGCTCACTGATTTGCGTTTCGGATTCTCTTCAGATGGTTGAAGATGGTCCGCACGGCCTGCACTCAAGCAACGAGGCTAGGTCACGTCACGAAAACCCGGAGCATTCTCAGTCTCCTGCCCTTCCGGCTCAGCCACCAGCCACGAGTAGCTCGTTGATGGGGAAGTCCCGGAGCCTGCGACGACGAGCACTTGCTGTAAGCCGTGATTTCGACTCCAAGCGTGCTTTTTTTTCCTCGGGGCTGGGCAAGCTGAGGTAATTCGACACCTTCTCGATGGCTGGCTTCAGCCCCGTGTCCGCCTCGAAGGACCTGGGCGGATGGGCGGACGAAGGAAGAGCGAGGAAGTGGAGCGAGGTCTGGAGGTGTTTGGAGGGGCCTTTGGAGGCGCTCGGAGGCCGCTTTAAGTGCACTGCATGGTGGCCAGGAAGCGCCGTGCGCCCTGGAGAACACCGAAAGAACGAAAGAAAGAGAACGGGCGATGACGCAACGCAGGCAGCAGGCACTCAGGCACTCAGGCACTCAGGCACTCAGGCACTCAGGCACTCAGGCACTCTGCTGCGTTCTGTCTGCCCCTATGGGCGGCGGACACGTAAGAGGTTCAGGGTCAGCTGGATCTCCGGCGTCTGCAGCTGCTGCTGAGCATCATTGAGGACCTGGCATAAGCTTTCTCCTTCGCAGACTGTCGGTATGCAAAGGCACATGAGACGACAACTTCAAGGTTCTGGCTTTCTCCATGCCGAGCCAGAAATTGATCTCTTGCATCGTGCTGCCCGTCGATGAATCACGCTGCATCTTCGCAGCCCGTTGAATCTCCTGTGGCGAAGCGGCGAAGCTCGCTTCCGCTGGCCCTGCTCAAACAAACCCTCCCTCTCCTTGCTCCATTTGTTTACACCGCCTCAGGGAAGAGGACTGCAACTCGAGAACGGATCTATCACGATCTAGTGCCGCGCTTTGCAGTTGATTCTGGAAGGTCGAGTCGTTCATACGTTCCTCTCAGGCCGGTCCAGGTCCACTCTCGCTTTTGAAGCAGCCGCTTGCAATTGCTATATCGAGATCGCATGTCTCCTTAAAGTCGTCAGTGCTTAGCTGCCTTCCTTCTGACTTCGCCTTCTCGAAGGCCTCAATAAGCACAGACAGGTCTAGTCCAGTCCAGACTTTCAGAGCAACAAAAACAGCAGAATTTGCAAGAAGGAAGCAGCAAACCTCCGCGATTTCTGGATCTAGTGGAAGAGAAATGTTTTCGATATCAACGTTCTGCTGGCACTGCCTGACGTTGCTTTCGCATAGCAGAGCATCGGTATGAGTCAGCTTGGGGCCAGAACATCAGCGCCATACTTAGGTCCATGATCTTCCGCATCACATTCGGGACACCGACCTGGCCGGACAACCTCCGAAATCCGGGCCAACCCGGCTTTGGGCTCGGAGTCGGAGCTGCTTCGGCCTTGAGTTCCTCGCGGTCATCGCCAGCACCCGTCTTGTTGGCGCTTTCTGACCTTCGAGCGGCTCACACTCAGCACATCTTACAAAAACTTCTGATCAAGCGAAGGCACTGCTTCGCAACCGCGTTAAACAGCGGCGCAAAGCCGTTCTGAAGATAGAGGTGGACAAGCTCGAAGGGAGACCACCTAGCCATCTTGTCTGTAGAGGTCTGCTAAGACCGCTGAAGTTAAGGCAAGGTTGCTCGGACTCTGCTCCCATGGTCAGCAACCTCCGCTACCGGCTAAAGATTCGCAAAGGGCAGCCGCTCTGCTGAGGCATGCCGAGGCGCTGGAGGTGCGACGTAAAGTTGCCGTTGGAAGGAACGGCACCTATCGGCGAGAGATGATGCAAACGAGAAGGGAGGAGAGCAGCACTGCTGGGACACTACTAACTACTACGCTCGGCCTTCTTCCAAGGTGCCTTCATAGGCCGCTCGAAAGGTCGCAGGGCTCCGTTTCAGCAATGCCACGGCCTGAGAGAACAGCCGTGCGACGTGGGGGCCACAGAATCAAAGCGCCAAGCTCAGTACACAGGCTTGTCTACGAAAGACAACTTCGTTCTCTGTGATGATGGTATATTCCTTCTCCTCAGCATGCAAGGAATGGGAAATTAGTTTCACAATGTGTACTGCACAGATCGCGATGGAAGCCTCAGAACTCTTGCCATCTTCATTTTTGTCTTCTCGGTCAACCTGATGGCAACGGGCGGGTTCTAGATTCTAAACGAAACGTATCCGATGAGGCAAGCAGGACTGGGATCCGGACCTGCTCGCGAGCAATGAAAAAGGTAGTGTCTTGGTCATCGTAGATGAAGTGGCGTACCTTGTTCATCATCTCCAAGCTGGCGAAATGTCTCGAGATCTCATCCTGAAGGTCGGGCAATGAGACGTGATGAAATTACACGCATGCTTGCTTGGCAATCTGGCGAACGAGGAAGCAGCTCCGCCTCGGAGCTCCCAGAATCGCTGGGCACACATTGTTTAGGAACTCGATGAATGGTCCAGGGTTGATTTTGGTATGTTCGCCCATCGCGAAGCTCACGCCATGCTGCCACTTTGGGCTGCTACAAGGAAAATCCGTGCCACAAGGTTTGCTGAAGAGTGTGTTGTCGGCTTGGTAGTTGATGACACTGTCAACTGTTGCTAGGTGCGGGCCTTTGTGTTGTTCTTCGGTTCCAAAGCCTGCACAACGGCGTTTTTTAACAACAAGGGAAGGCCGGGACCATAAACCGGATCACTACATGCAGTGCTGTACTCATTGTGAACTGATCAAACAATGGCATGTATCCGGTGTCGCTGCACTGATTCCTGCTTTTTACACTCCATAATAATGGCTGCATGCGAAAAGCAAGGCATATGCTGGGAATCATCGAACAAGCCTGAAACTGCTTCTGTTTGCACGACAAACTGCCACGAACATGTGCGCGACTGGCGCATTCACACAGACCCCCATGCTTCTGATACCCAGCAAGCTTCAGAAACTTTGAATCACTGCCCGCTTGGCAGGAGATTCCGGGTTTCTGGTCCATTCACCGAATAGCCCCCACACTGAGCAGACAGGTGCCTATGCAACCGTCTCGCACATGTCGTGTGTCGCTGACAGTACGATGGGTACAACCAAGCTAGAAAGCATGAGATGCAAAAAGCTACGAAAGAAAAAAATCAAGTTTAGCCTCGTAACAACACAACAAGTGCACCAAATGACCACGCCGGGTAACCCCCCATACCCCCGAAGAGGTATCAGACGTGCGGAAGTATCGGACGCACGGGGCATTTGGGCAGGACAGCGGGGGGGAATGGGTAGGGGTATGGAGGAAACTCCGAGCAGCTGGAGGAGGAGGTATCAAATGGGGTAATAGGTGGAGGTATTGGACAGGCGGACACATCAGACGAGTACAGGTATCAACCGGACGGAGGTATCACAGGGGCGGAAACACCAGACAGGCGGAAGTATTAGAGGAGCGGAAGTATCAGACGTGGAGGTATCAGACGCGCAGCAGAAGGGGCACAACAATGGCGGAGGACGAGAAGGAGGAGGGGATATAGATGCATAATATCAAGCGCATGGAGATTGACGGAAACTCCAAGCAGCCGGACGGCCTGTTGTGCCCGCCAGCACTGTCTAGCAGCCGCGCAATAAGAGACCATCTTTGATGTGTTGGCACGACGTTGAGTCCGGCAAGTGCGGGCATAGAGATGGCTGATGTTCCATATATCTCCAACTAGATTGATTTGATCAGTAACAAAAGAACTGCTGCGAGCTCCGCCCACCGCACAAAAAGCAACGGTGAGTGTGTGTGCGTGTGGCAATCCTGGTAAATGCAGTCGCACCCAGCTGAATCTCAAAGAAACACTCCCCGTGGGAATTCTGATTACCAGCCCGCTACATACTGAGTTCAAGCATCTAAGACTGCTGTCGGCCAATGCTTGTCTAGAGAAATTTCGAAACCGCTACAATGATGTCCCACCTGCGAGGCTAACATGACTGCACAATGTTTTTTCAATAGGAAACACCTTCGGCGATGTAAGCATCCACAATGCGACATGTACAAATGGGATAAGTTCGAACAAACAAGAAAACTCAAGCAAATCGATCAAACAACTATAAAGAGTGGATGTAAAATCAGCAATCTTTGAAAGGGTTGTCAAAGTATAAGAGAGCCGCAGTGTCACCGATAAATAGCTCGGTCACGTCTGGCGGCTGTGGGTCATGCAACTCGTAACCCAAAATTTTCTAGACAGCTCTTTCAGATTTTTTTGATACCGCCGTCTAGAGAAACTGTAAAACCGTACAATGATGCTCCATCTGCGGGACTTCATACGACTGCACAATAAGAAAGAAGGGGCGCAATCCACGCGCTCTCAATTCTGGACAATATGGCAATGGAACAAACGCGCATTGATAAAAATTGCAATCACTCACTTGGCTCGGACCACGATCTTTTTTGCACTGTGCTGGCAAAGCCAGGAGCTGGGGTGCATACCCTTCCGTGCTCCACGCCACGACCAGATGGCCAGCAGGACACGATATCTCCCCTATCAGAACGTTCAGGCTGCCAGCCATTCGAGAAGAAACTTGGAATTCCCGGCGGACCGCTCTTGCGAAGCATGTCCCATGGCAGATCCTCGGTCCTCATCGAAACATCGACGGCCGCTTTCAAGGTTCCATGGAAATGAACTAAAGCAGCTGCCTTCTCGCCACATTGCATAGTGGCGGCGTTGATCCATCTTAATTTCGACCCCGACATGTCTTTTCACCTTGCGCATGATATGTTTATGCTTTAACTTCAACATTGATTTGAAGGCAAAGGGGTTTTACCAGTTGGAAGAAGTTTACTAAGAGACTAAGAGCTTTCTCCTGTGCAGATTGTACGAAAGTGGTGGCTGTTGTTAAGACGATGTTACAAACATTGCTGAAAAATGTGCCATTACGCGGGCCCTGTTTCAGGATCCAGAAAACCACGAAAAACATACTACACAGCAGAGGCCCCTTACTGTATGCACCCACCTTGAGGGTCCAAAAAAGGACACGGAATCAGCTGAGAAAAGACGGCTTGAATCCTTCAGTGGAGGTCGAAAAAAATTGCAATCTTTTTCTGGATTCGTCGGGGCTGAAAAAAAGATGGAGGCGCCTCCCCCTTCTCGCGCAACACTGGCTCCTACGGCACGCCTCCCTCCTTTCCCCACAAGCCAGAAAGTAGCGCCCATGTGGCCACGAGTGAAATCCACATGCCGCCAATCTTGAGTGCATGGTCTGACAGCCTCCTTCCCACCAACGCAAGTAGAGATCGGAATCTATCACCTACAGCCTGGTCCGCCAAAAAAACAATACCAAACAATGACTGCCGGTGCTTCGAGCCTCACGTACGGCAGCCCTCCGATGATAGCTCGAGGGCACTCGGGCAGTGGGATCCGAGAAGGAGGACTGTGGCCACCTGGAGTCACCCTTGGCCGTGGCACCACAAGCGGCGGCGGTGCAGCCACCGCAAAATTTGTCGCACAAGATCATGGTGGGGGAAGAAGCAGCTCTTTGCTTTCGGGACCTTGAATCTGTGCCAGCAAATTCAGCATTAGACGTGTCTCGGGGGTTTCGCAGCAGTTGCGTCAGAGATGAACAGGGGAGGCCACTAGCTGAAGCCAGTTTCTAGCCTCAAAACGGCGTGCAAAATAAGGCGCTTTAGGTAAGCTTGCATTGCTCTAGCACTTCAGCTCTCTCTTTTGACCGTGTTGGATCTGCAGGCATAGGAGCTAGCCGAAGGCTGGGCAAAGGAAAACACCCCTCGGCTAGAGTTTGTGAGAAGACGAGTGAAAAGGCATGCATTCGTCTGGAATTAAGGCAATGGCTGAGGCAGCTTTTTGGGCGTGAAACGCACTATGCTAAAGTGTCTAAGGCAGTTGGCTTGGGCGTAGCCCTGCAGGCAGAGGGCATGAAAGGTCCCGAGACCGAGGCGTCAGGTGTTTTGAAGTGGCCGAGGAGTGCTAGAGCCCGGCTACACGTAGGCATGTAGGCATGTCAAGCTTGTAGAGATTCGCAAGCTCCGAAAACATTCCTGAAGCAAAACAGGCAACATCTGGCCCAGCTTGAACTCGTTGCTTCTTTGAGAACTTGGAGGAAGTGTGTGCGCACAAAGCACAGCAATAGGAAAACGCTGCATGAAGTCCAGCGCGGAGCACAATACTGTGGGGGTTCTCTGGTGTGGCCTTTTCTTTTTTGGTTTTCCGGACCCTGAAAACAGAACTGCAAGCATCAGACGCCTCTTTGGGGGTTCTTGTGGCAAGATCAAAGCACCAGACTGTGCTTTTGGTAGCCTGGCAGCAACTGAATGCATCAGACGTTTCTTTGGGCCCCTCGCAGCAATCTCAAAGCATCAGACGTGTTTTTGGGAACCTGGCGGCAACTGAAAGCCGTAGACGCCTATTAGGGGGACTCTTGCAACAAAGTCAAAACATCAGACTGTGCTTTTGGGGATCTCGGCAGCAACTAGAAGCGTCAAACGTTTGTTGGGGCTCTCGCGGCACAGCAAAGCGTCAGACGTGGATGTGTTTAATCAACTCCTGGAGAAATCCGGAGACCACTAGGATAGACTAGAATGTTCCGCGGCGCCTGGTGCCGGTACATTTCACGAGCGCCAAGCCTCGAAAAAACCGTGGTCCTGCAAATCCGTTTTTCAATTAACAATTCTATACTCCCACAGCGGTTTTGAAGGACCCCAGGTGTCACCTTGCAGTTCTTGCCTGCCGTGGTCCTGCGTGGTCTTGCAGTTGTGGTTTCTGCAAGGAGAGCAGGTTGCTTCAAGCAGTCAACCGACGCCGACACCCAAATGCCGGCCCCGATGAGTTTTATTACCCTTGATCTTAACGCTACACCACTTGGTTCTCTATGAAGGTTTCATGCAAGCACATGAGACAGCAAAAGAGAGAAGGCGCACTCACTCTTTTTTCACGGCGGAGGTTGCAATGTCCGTGCCAAGCGTGGCGAGCAGTTAGGTCTGTGCTGTGCGAGGCACGATGTATAACCCCCAACGGGTGTGGTGGGTGGGTGAAAAATTTTCTCTATGCATGCGGGGCCGCGGCCCTTCTGCAGTGTTCCTATGTCGTATCCCATTTGAGCCACCGGTGCGGCGCGGTGCTAGCATGAGAACACATAGAAAACACTGCTGACTAAAAATACAAAAGCACAGCGAGCGAAATCCCTAAATCTTTGCATTATGGTAACCTTTAAACCCCTTGGATTGTGTAGTGTGTGGAAATGACCCAATTTGGCAATCCTGAAATGACTCATCGGATTGTTTCCCTGGCAGTTGCTCGGTGAGTGTCGGAATCTGTGGATTTTCG